AAACCACATTAGGCAGCTCACAACCACTTGTAACTCTAGCTCCAAGGGACTCTGACACCCTCTCTGACCTTATCAGGAACACACACACACACACACACACACACACACACACACATAAATAAAAATAAATCTCTTAGAAAGCAGGAGTCCTGTGAGATTGAGTACAGGCTAGTCTACATACCAAGTTTCAGGCCAGTTGGGGCTGTACAGAGCGACCCTGCCTTAAGATAGAAAGAAAAAGAAAACATTTGATACTGTGAGATGGCTGGGTAAAAGTGCGTGCTGCCAAGCTGACAAACTAAGTTCAGTGCTAGGACCTACGTGGTGGAAGGAAAGAACCAATTCCCACAGGTTGTCCTCTGACCTTTCACATGTGTTCTGTGGCATCCCCCCATCCCCTTCACACAAAATAAATTAATTTTTAAAATCTGATAACTTTCAGAGTAAGTTTTTTTGTTAAAACATAGCGGGTATAAACATAAATATTTAGAAGGCAATTTGACAGTATGACCATTCAGCAAAATAACAGGTAGATAACAATAGCAGGTTCTACCCCAGAGCCTATGATCTCCCTGAGCCATGGGCCTTTGACTAGGGTTACTGTACCAGTCATAAAATTCCCTCTTGTGGAGCAGGCTTCACATCCAATCGGAAAGCAGTTCGTTACCCCACAACAATTGTGCCACTATTGAACAAGTAGGCACATCTTGCTTGCTGGGTCATTATTGCAACATGCAAGATTCAGCACTGGGTAAGACCATTGATTGTTTTCTCCCAGCAGCCTGCATAGTGCTTTTTGGTACTATGAAAACTAGCCATCAGGGAGGAAATTTCCTGGTTTGAGATTGATTTCTCTAGTCCTTCAGCTAAAATAGGTGTTGTCTTTAGCAATAGGGTCTTACCATGTAGTTATGATGGGCAACTGCCTAATTTGCTTTCTGTTGCTGTGATAAACACCAGGAACAAAAGCAACTTGGGAAAAAATGGCATATTTTAACTTTCAGGTTAAAGACAAGGCAGGAGCTCAAGGCAGCAGCTTGAAGCAGAAATGAACAAACGAAAGCTGTTTACTGGCTTGCTTCACTACCTTTCTGATACAGACCAGGCCCATCTGCCTAAGGATGGGACTGCCCACAGTGGGCCGGGCCCTTCTTTAAATCAGTAATCAAGAAAATATCCCAGAGACATGCCTACAGGCCAATCTAATGGATAGATTTATTTCTAAATAAATCTGTTGATTGAAGAACAAGTTAATGTCATAAGGGTATGAAACTGGAAGATGGGTCCTTCTCAAGGACAGTGGGCCATATCTTCAGTAAATCAGTTGTCTAGAAGGAAATTGCTTGAGAGTAAAAGATCCTTAACAGACCTAACAGCTAAATTCAGTTTCTTAGACCTTGGCAAACCTACTTGAAAAAGCCAAGTTTGAGACAATAAGGGAGTCGGAATGTGGTATGACACTGTTATGGTTTGGATATGACCTACCACCTGAGGAGACTCCGTCTCAAAGGCAGGGTTTTCAGTGCAGCAGCGTTCAGGGTGCAGCTTTTGGAAAGTGATTGGATCATCAGGGCTCTAACTTCATCAATGAGTTAATCCATTGATGAACTCCTAATTTGATGGTGTTATTAGAAGGTGGTGGAACTATTAGGAAGTAGGAGCTAGTTGGAGGAAGTAGGTCACTGGGGTGTGCTTTTTAAAATATTTTATTATTTTAATTTTATATGTGTATGAGTATATTGCCTGCATATGTGTAAGTGCACCCATGTGGTGTAATGCCCATGGAGGTCAGAAGAGGGCATAGGATCCCCTGGAACTGGAGTTATGTACCATTGTTAGCTGTCATGTGGGTGTTGGGACTCAAACTCTGGTCTTCTGCAAGAGCAGTCAGTGCTCTTAACTGCTGAGCCATCTCTCCAGCCACTGGAGTGGGCTTTTGAAGGTTATATCGGGTCACTGGGCCCATCCTCTCTGTCTTCTGTCCGTCATGAAGTAGGCAACTTTCCTCTTCCGTGCTCTGTGGCCTAATATTCTGATCACCATAGCCCAATAAAGGAATGTGCCAGACCACCATGAATTGAAACCTGTAGACCTATGAGCCAAAACAAATGTGTCCTCTCTTCAAATGTTTTCTCTTCGGTGTTTTTCACAGCAACAAAAAGTCCAACACGTATACAATGGTGCCAAGGAATTACTGTCATTTTTTTCTTGGCAAATAATTTCATTGTGATTATGAAGGAAAGTTTCCATGTTTTTCTGAGATGTACATTGAAGTACATTGAAATATAACATTCTTAGACACGAGGGACAAGATTTGCATTAAAATATCAGCAGACACGGCAAAATGTAGATAAAACAGTTTAGCAAAGTCTTAATGACAGGCCACAGAAGGCAGCACACAGAAGGCAGAGGTGGGCATGTCTCTGTGACTTGGAGACCAGCCTAACCTCCATAGTGAATTCTGTGCCAGCTGAGGCTACAGGGAGACCATCTTAAATAGACAAAAATCTTAATGATGGTTAAATTTCGATGATTATTATATGCAGGTGAATTATATAATTACATTTATTTCTGTGAATCTTTAAATACTTTCAGGATCAAAACAACAGGAAAGGGGACTGGAGACACTGCTTAGTCAGCAAAGTGCTTGCCATGCAAGCATGAGGGCTCAGTTCAGTCCCTAGCACTCGCATTAAAAAAAGAGGCTGGGCATAGCAGCACATTTTATACTTCCAGCACTGGGTAGATGTCCCTAGGGCTTGCTGACCAGCTATTCTATCTGAATCTGTCAGCAACAGATTTAGAGAGACCTTGCCTCAAAAGATACGGTGGAGAGTGACTGAGAAAGACACTTGATGTCAACCTCTGACCTCCATATGTACACGTGTATGGTGCACACCATGCACACACACACACATGTATACACACATACACACAAAATAAAAGCAGCAAGAAACTGTCTTAGGACTAGATGGTTTTGCAGATTAGTTCTAACTAGATTTTTAAATAATAAATATTTCTGATATGATTCAAATGCTATGGTCTCATAAGATGAAAAACTCACCAGTTCATCTTATGAACTTAGCATAACTTCAAGACTTTTAAGCCTTTTATGGAACATAGCATGCATGACAAAAGTTGTAATTGTGAGTTCATAAACTGAGAGAATTTTATATACCAAATACAGCAGAGCACACAGAGTTTTTAAAGAACATTGTAACAACCTAGAAATCTTCCTCATCCTTATTCCCAGGCAGAATCTCTGCCGAAGATATCCGCTATGCTGAAGTTACTAAAACTTTCAGTACCAGGATCTTGTTTTAAAAATTAGTGCATAGGGGCTGGAGATGACTGCTCTTGCAAAGGACCTGGGTTTGAATCCCAGCATCCACATGGCAGCTAACAAACTTCCCATAAGTCCAGTTCCACGGGATCCAACATCCTCTTCTGACCTCCATGGGCATAGCACGACATGAATGCACCTACATACAATGCAGGCAATATACTCATACACATAAAATAAAAATAAATAAGTGCATCTAAAACACGAATCAAAAGGACCGCATGTTCAAGTCAAGTTAGCTACCTAGGGAGACTATTTCTCAAAAAGTTAAAAGGAAAAGAAAAAGCATGAAAGAAAACAAAAAATAATAAAATAAAAACAGTATAAAAGTAGGAATTAAGAATAATTTCAGCCAAGCTTGGTGGTATATTTCTATAGTCCTAGCAGCTGAGAGTCTGAAGCAAGAGAATTAACAAGTTTGAGGTCACTCTCGGTCATATAACAAATACCAGACTAGCCAGGGCTGTATAGCAAGACCTTGCCGCAGTAAAAGAGAATGAAAGAAAGAGAAAAAGAAAGGGAGGAAGAAAAGAGGAAGGGAGGGAGGGAGGAAGGGGTGGGCAGTAATTTCACTTGCATAAAAGCGCTCTTAAAAAAGATCCTGGCTTCCTGTGTAGCTGGCCTGGCTGTCTCCGTACTTGCTCTCCTCCTGGAATCTCGAGCTCCGGAAATACAAGCATGTGCCACCATTCTCAGCTTCAGGCAAAATTTTTGAATGAAATATTAGGGCATAGAATATATCCTAATAAATATATTTTAATATTTACAAAATATTACACACACATAACATCAGTACTTTACCTGATCGGTCTTATTTCTTGCATTTTTTTCTGTGTTCTTAATTGCCCTTGCTTTATTAGATTTTCCTTTCACAATGGATTGAAGACAGTAAATAATGTGGGGCTTTTACATATTCAAGTACATTTATTCAACTACAGCTCTTTGAAGAGTATTTGCTAGTCATAGGATTCCAGGTGGGCAGCTGTTTCCCTCAGGACTTTGAGTACCCAGCACCATCTCCTTCTGATACTTGATGCCATTGAACGCTTCGTTGTCAATTTCTTCTTTGTTTGAATGAAACATCTTTCTTTGGAAGATTCTCTTTCCTTTGAGGCCCAAAAGCTCTGCAGTTTTGCTGCATTGTTGCTAAGGATATATTTCTTTCTAATTTGTTATTACTTGGTGAGAGTTTTCAATATAAGGTCTCATGTGTTTCTTCATTTCTGAACAATTATGTCGATTTATTGTTTTTTACTACTGGAGATTGAACCCGAGTGTTTCACGCATACTGAGCAGGTGCTCGTACCACTAAGCCGTTTTGTCTTTCAGCAGCACATTTGTCACCACTTTCCTATTTTCACCACATTCTCTAACTTCCGTTAGCTGTATTTCCGGCCTTCTCCTGTGTCTCCCTTACTAACACCTCTTTCATGGCTTCCTCCATTACCCATAGCTAGAAGTCCGTCAGTACTACCTTCTGAGGTGTCAAACCATCTCTTCAGCTATATCCAGTCTGCTGGGGGTTATTACCGTTACTACCTAATGACTTCCTTCTTCATTTCCGATATTTCCAATTTGTTCCTGTTCAGATCTTCCTGTTCCGGCTATATCCAGTCTGCTGGGGGTTATTACCGTTACTACCTAATGACTTCTTCATTTCCGATATTTCCAATTTGTTCCTGTTCAGATCTTCCTGTTCTTGTCTTATGGATGTTTCTTCCTGATGCCTTTGAGCAGGCAGCGTATTATTTGGAAGTTCTCACATTGATCTGTATACCCACAGGTGATAATCCTTCCATTCATCAAATTATGCAACTACCTTTATGGTGATGGAATTACTATGTACTTAACTTTTGGGAAATAGGATATTGGGGAATCAAATTGGAGACTTGTACAGGGCAAGTAAATTGTTTTAAAAGAGTAATTCTTGCTGGATAATTCTTCATACATACCATTTCTTTTCGTATGATCAATATTTGCTTCATCCCTGGTCCAAAAGGGTTTCATAAATCTAAACTAGATTTTGTGTTAGCAGATCAATTGGATCTTTTACTTAATATTTGGGTTTGGGTTTGGGCTTTGCATGAATATTGTATAGAATACATATTGGGTGCTTTCTCTTCTGCATAAATTCAGTGTTCTCAAAAGCTAAAATCCACATCAAAAATATTTCAGTAAATTATGAATTCCATTTAAGACAATACATTCCTCCTTTTTAATAATCAATTTGAGGAGGAATGACCACAGTTTTTCAAACTAGAGGAGGAAAAATACCCCCAGGCATGTTTTGGCTTTCTACAAATCTCTTCTCTGTGTCATATTTTATGTCCCAGAATGAAGTTTCAGGAATAGTGTGTTTCCACTTTGCAAGCCCCTTAAAATACCTCCATTCCAGATCCACTAGGTCCATGAATTGTTTTCCTGAAAAAAATCATATTTTTAAAGAATCACATGACAATATGCTTCATGGACAGAATAAATCTTTAAAAAATTTTTATTTTATGATTTTATTTTATGTGTATGAGTGTATTGCCTGCATGTGTTTAAGTGCACCCATGTCATGCAATGCTAGCAGAGGTCAGAAGAGGGAGTCAGATCCCCTGGAACTGGAGTTATGGATGGTTGTTAGCTGCCATGTAGGTGCTGGGATTCAAACCCAGGTCCTCTGCCAGAACTGCCAGTGCTCTTAACCGCTGAGCTATCTCTTCACCCAGAATAAATCTTTACTGGACTTGCGTCTCCTCTCTTCTGACAGAATGATGTTCTGAAGCAATAGGGAGCCCATGGTTCTCATCTAGCATACTCCCCTATGTGGAAAAATGGGTAGGTCTGGCTGCTTGGGCTCAAGTGGACCCTACGAGACCACACAGGGAAAGGAGCCACTCCTTTGATGTAGAGGAACTGGTGTGAGGTAGAAATGAAGAGCCTTATAGGATGTTGATGAAAACGGAGATGGTACAAGACTCCTAATGAGTAGCTGAACTGAGGAAGAATACTGGCCAGACGTACATCATTACAAGTTATTAGTACCATTTCTTCAAAGATGCTAATGTCAGTTCAAGGATAAAAGGGCCATGGTATAACTAGAATCTGACTTCTAAAAATAATGCTTCAGGACTTTTCAGATTTGAGTATCATCAGTGGTTACAAGTTTTCAGCCTCAGTGAGCCAAAGAAAGCCAAACCAGGGCATATTCCTACTCCCTGACTGACTGAGATCTCTCCTTCCCTTTCTTCTTGTCCTGGCTTTACTACATTGTGCAGTAGAGACACAAAACAAAGCGTAGCAACAAGACCAAGGCTAAAGGCCAGGGCATGTGTATAAAACCAGGGACCAAGCAGCTGAGGAGACGAGTGCCTGGGCGTGGAGAGGTCATGGGTACAGCAGGTAAGCAGAGCGCTGGCCCATTTCCCCTCAGTGCTTTTCCCATCTTCCCCGTCTGCTGACACTGAGCAGGTTGCCTATGTCCCAAGGACTAAGTAGACACTTCCTTGCCCCACCAGTCCTCCATCCTGCCTAGGTTTTGAGAGTATGCTTGGTGGACAGCCTTCATGTAGATGTGTGCCTGAGACTTTTTCTTCGGTTCATCCTTCCCCAGCAGGACAGACACTGGTGATTCCTGCTGATCAGTACAATAGTCTTCCCCTGGGACCAGGCTGCCAGGTTTCAGGGGTTGGCAAGCTCTCCAAAGGCCTGGCATAGAAAGAGGTGGAGAGAGAGGGAATGAAAAGGATACTTGTCAAGAATAAGACCTTAGAGCTGATTCTCATCACTAAAGGCATTGCATCATGGGCAGCTACAAAGGGATGGCTTCAGTCACACCCACTGCAAGCCATTTCCGCTTCTCTCTGCTCTAGAGGGTAGACACTAAGCCTGCTTCACAAACCTTCTTGCAGGCAGCAGTAACTACTGGACACAATTTGTCACAAGAAGGTAGAAAGAAGCCCTCTGGCAAAGTGTTCTCAGGGAACCTTTACTTCCTGGTTCAGAAAGGACATAATGGGGTTATGACTATTGGTTAGTGATAGAGCACATACCTCCCTTGCATGAAAGCCAGATCGTCAGAACCTCAAATAAATGAGCTAAAAACACAGAAGATATTTCTTGCTGCATAGAATATAGTTGTAGCACCTGCAGGGGCAGGAAATGTCTTTTTGACAAAGACAAAAGATACATAGAAGATGATGTGCTGGCAGAGCCTGGGTCTAGTGAGACACCCAACAGCACTGGTCTGTCCTTTTCTTGTGAATCCACATTAATTTCTGTGCTATTCTTTGCCAAACATATCAATTCACACAATTCTATAAGAATTAGACTGAGGAGGAAGAGCTCACGTGACCAGAGACTAGCAAGCTTCCAACCCCCATCCCCCTTTCTTCTCCTAGAGCTGTGTGGTAGGAGGACAGTTTGCCCTACGGTATTCTTAGCACTGGAAACCATGATGAGAAGATAGTACTCTACTAACGCCATGTAACAGGCAACATGTAGTTATGGGAACTTCAGATCTGCATCTGATTGACTCACTGTCCAAAGGAGAACTTAAGTGGCCCTTCAGGAGTGAAGAATGGAAGAGGAATTGTTACAATAGCAAATAACTTCACAGAATTCCTGGAGCTCGCCCAGAGAGCTGTAACATTGTTTCATGCGTGCTTCTTGACGAGACATATCCCGGATTTAGCTCTAGGATCTCAATAAACAGTGTCATGGGCACAGAAAGGAGACCCCCACATAGAGTCTGGGCCATATCAGAGACCTTCAGAAGTGAGATGGATGGTAGGAGGCACACACAATAGGAAGAAAGGACAAATCAGTCCCTACAGAAGATCAAGTCATAAATATCCCAGACCTACCAAACACACAGAGGCCTTTTCTGGTAGACTTTGGACAAGTTCTTCCTCAGCCATAACTCTCAGCACTTTTCCTTTCTGGTTCCAAGCTCACACTGTCCACTTCAGTGGACCCCCTAGACCACTGCTACAGTTGCCTACACTCTAATAGGACTGCCAGTTTGGAGAGCCACAATAGGCTCTGTGAAAATGTTGGTGTGCAGTTGCTGCAAACAAAGAAGCTCCTTGCTGCTCCCTGGGCCAGATATGCTCAGAGCCATGGCCATCTCCTCTAGCAGATGTGTTCATTCTGAGTGTCTTGTCAAGTGCTTTTATTATGACAGTACTGCTTCAAAGTATTGAATCTACAAATGGTCTTAAATCTACTTTATTGAAAACTTAGTTCACAGGGGCTCAAATGTTTAGACTTTTTAATGTTTTTCATCTTACAAGACCTCACATATTCTAGGCAATCGCTCTACCCCTAAGCTGTACATCCAACCCTGTTTACCTGATTGGATAGCTGCACAGAAGGATAAAACACTGTGCTGCTGTGCTGCCCTGTTTCTTTTGCCTCGGTAGAGATCTGATCTCGTGCATCCTAGGCAATCACAACTACTGAGCTACACCTCAGCTCCCCTCTGTCATAATGTGAACACCTGAGATATCAGACATTTCCATTTCCTTAACGCTTAACACCACATGTTTTAAGTAATTTTCACGCCCTTGTACGGTCTTTGGTGTTCCGTGGGTACTGCTCTAGCAAGAAATCAGAAGTGAAGCTTCCTTCTGCTGCTTGTGGCCCTGTGGAAAGTCCTGATAGAGACACAACAATAAGGAAATGTTTGTGGAACAAAAATCTTTTGAAATCTCCCAAATGGAAAATGGCAGTAGGACCAAGGTGGGTAATAAAAGATAACACTGACACTCCAGCAAGTTTGTGATGCAAAAAATCAAGCAGTGATTGGCATTTCAGATGCTGGATCTGGCACATTTCATATAGGAAAACTCAAGTGCCCTGTCCATATGATCTGCCTTTCAGGGATGGATGTGAGACTTCACCCTGGATTGTAAAATTTTTATTCTTGTTCAGTACTGGAGACTGAACCCAAGGCCTTCAATATGCTGGACAAGTGTTCTAAAGTGTTCTTCCATGAGCTCTAAAGAGTTCTTCCATGAGCTAGTTCATAATCAATCCCACCCCCCCACACCGGCTAGGTCTGACTAAATTGCACGGGCTGGTCTGGAACTAATGATCCTCCTGCTTTTAACTTCTGGAGGAGCTGGGATAATAGTTGTGTTCTATTCTCAGGGTGGAATTTTAAAATTCTGTTATTTCATTGCCATTGAATGCAGCAAGACCATCAGCCATGAACCTTAGAGTCAATGCTTGACGCTTTCTGCTCTGGAAATCCACCCAACTTCCTAGTAATATTTGCTCCCAGTAGCATTTTCTCCCAGGTGACCCCATCTGTTTAGGTTACCTGGATCCATGGAGAAGCATCTTATAGATTTATCTCTGTAGACTAGCTTCTCTTGGGCGGCAGAGGATAGGAGGGGTCTGCTTATGATTTTGACGTTCTGACTCTTCTTTCTAATATTAGCCAGTGGAGAAATGCTGGGCTTGTCAACCATTACACTGTAAGGAAAAATGTGCCCAGGGGGAAGGATGCCACTCCGGGCCAGTCTCTGCTGGGACCTGGATAACTGCTCCAATGGGGAGATGGAGCCCGTCAGCAGGTTGTGGTGGAGTAGTTCTGCCATGGACGTTGGCTTCTTGTTCTGAACCTCAGACTCTACAGCAGGTAGGGGATCTTCTTGTTTAACAGCAGCCACATAGCCAGTGAATGGCATCGCATCCAGGTTTCCCATAAGCCGTTTCTGTGCTTCCTCAAATGAAATGCTGCAAATTTTTAAAAGGTTTGATTTCTTCCTCGCCTTATTAAAGTTCTCAATTGATGCGTATAATTCTGGCAGCTGTGAGGAGAAAGAAGAGTGGAAGTCATGAGCTAAATGAAACATTCTTTGAAAAATATCATTGCCTCACTGAAATGAGGCCATAGTGAAATGTGGCAGAGGGAACGGAAGACAGAACACAGGTTCAATCCAAAAGAGACGGTGTTTACACACATCACTTAAGTTCTTTGCTATAGAAATAAGCTGTTTAGATTTGGACTTGTGGACCTTTGAGATCTTTCCAGCTCTTCTGTTCTGATTGGTCATACAGAAAGTCAGCTGAGGTGGGCCTTGAGCTTTGCTTGTTTGGAATAATGGTGCTTCTTCTAAGGAAGAGAGGAAGATCAATCATGTAGATATCAGAGCTCCACCTGGTGTCCAAAGAGCTCAGAATATTCCAGAATGTGAAGCAAAGGAGACTGTCATCAGAATTAGAATATTTTCGCAAGGAAACAGCAGCATTTGTGGGATGTTGGGGAAGAGTTGGCAGAGCAAAACCATAAATGATTCCTCAAGGAAATCCTAAAGTCCTTCCCTGCCTGAAGTCCTATGGAGAAGGAACATAGTCCTACTTTTCAGAACATCCTATCTACAGGTCACACCACTCCTGAAAGGTTTCTTTGGACTCTTCAACTGGATAGCCTAACAGGCCACAATCTCAGGTTAGAGCCAACATTTCTGTCATTTCCCCGGGGTTGTCATTCCGTGGTGGAGTTCTTATCTACCATGTGCAAGGCCTTGGAGTTGATCCCCAGAAGCAGAGAGAAAGAAGAAAGTAAAACAGGAGTAACACAGCCCTCAACAACTAGATCAAACAGCCCAATGTAGTTTCCTTTTAATCTTAGTCATACCATTGCAGGAACAAATACTATGAAGTGAACTAAAGGTAACAAGTGTCTCTCTTTAGGACTGGCTACTATCATCTGGAAAACAACATAGCCTACATGCTGCCTCACCATCGGAAGAGCTAGATTTTGTGGTGGCAAAAAAGTGAAGTCACTGAAATGAAATTTTAGTTCTCCCTACAACTCCCAGGTATATCTGTGCAGAAGCAATAGCTTGATGTTTTACAGCTCCTTGGTGTTGGCTGCCTGTGTGCAGGCAAGTGCATACCACACATCCCTTAGGCCCGGGAGCCTTAATGCCTTCAGTTCGATTACTGTGTCTCAGGAGGAACATTGTGCTGGGATTTTATCTCAAGATCCTGAAAAAGAAATAAAAGAGAGGCTCAAAATCAACGTTAAGAAATAAAGTAAAATATAGCTAGGTGTGATGGTACATGCCTTTAATCCCAGCACTTGGGAGGCAGGTTGATCTCAATGAGATCGAGGTCAGTCTGGTCTGCATAGTGAGTTCCAGGCCAGGTGGGACTACAGGGAGATCCTATCTCAATATAAATAATAGTAAGTAAATAAATAAATAATACAAAGGAAAGTAGATATCACTTTCAAAATTTTTCTGAACTTTATTAATGGGACACTTTACATTTTTACTGTGTTTTGTTTTGTCCTTAGCCTGGATTAGTCAAATTAATCATGTTTTAAACCAAACTTCTTTGTTTTAGCATTTCAAACTTTTATACAATCTATGTTCAGATTTTATATTAGCTCAAAAACTATATTGACGCTTTATTTCCTTGTTTATTGTTTTGATTAATCTTTAGTTCAACTAAGAAAAAATTCACTTATTTCATCATCCAGAAAAACGTATTCTTCATTTAGGAGAAAAAGACCTAATAGTGATAACAATAACAAAAAACAGTGAATATATTTTTTAAAATATTTCATTTATGGCTGAGCATGGTGGCACACACCTTTAATCCCAGCACTCGGGAGGCAGAGGCAGGCAGATCTCTGTGAGTTCAAGGCCAGCCTGGTCTACATTGTGAGTTCCAGGACAGCTGGGGCTACAGGGAGACCCTGTCTCAAAAACACCAAAAAAAAAAAATTTTAATATTTTGTTTATTATTTTATGTGCATGCGTGTTTTGCCTGCATGTATGTAAGTGCACTCATATCATGCAATGCCCACGGAGGCCAGAAGAGGGCATAAGATTCCCTGGAACTGGAGCTGAATTCAGGTTCTCTTCAAGAGCAGCCGGTGCTCTTAACCACTGAGCCATCTCCCCAGCCCCACACTAAGCATTTTAAAGCAAAAAAGAAACAATCAACATTTCATAAACATAATTAAAATGACTCTAGAATCTTTACAATGCCTCTCATTAAAAAATATCAGGTGGGGTTGGAGAGATGGTTCAGTGGTTAAGAGTACTGGTTGCTCTGGCAGAAGATCTCTGCACCTACATGGCAGCTAACAACTGTCCATAACTCCAGATCCAGGGAATCAAATCACTTTCATATATTCAGGCAAAATACTCATACACATAAGATAAAAAAATAAAAGTTTTGAAAATGTCAGTTAAGTACAGGCCCCACATTTGCCGTTGGCTGGCCCTGTGTGGCTTCCTTCATTAACAAGTGGCCCTGTATGAGTGACACTGTAAGTGGCAGTGTCCAGGCCATCATAAGTCTTGGAGCTTCCTCCACATTCTTGGAAGCCTGTGCCTCCACACAGAAGTGTGGCTTTTCTTTTGGAGAGAAGGCATGCACCAGCCACTAGACATCTAGGGAAGCCGTTTTTGTTCACCCAGCCTCAGACCTGCCTCCAGATGAGTATAGCTTCATGAGCCATCCCAGCTGAGCATTCCTCTCCAACCTCTGTCTCATATATTCTTCCTGCCCCCTCTTCTGCAATACTCCCTGAGCCTTAGAGGGAGTGCTAGAGATAGCCTGTTTAAGACTGAGTGCTCAACAGTCACTTAGTCTCAGTTTTGTAACCAATTATGAGTCTCTATATTACCTACCACCCACTGCAAAAAGAAACATCTCTGTTGAAGACTGAGCAGTGCAGCACCAATCGATGGCTATAAATATAAATATTTAGAAGGCAGTTTGACATCATGTTCATTGTAACAGGTTCAGGGCGTATTACCTCCTCAGCCATGGGCTACTGAGGAGGTGTATGGTACTAGGCCTGAATACTTTCCTGTAGAGCAAGCCTCAATCCAATAAAAACGCAGTTGGTTACCCCCATAACAGTCATGCTGCTATTGACCAGTGACCATATCTTGCCAGACAGATCATCACTGTAGCTTTTGGGGTCTAGAGCTACATAGGAAGACCACTGATGACTTTGCTCCCCTAGCTTTGCATAGTACCTTCTAGCACTATGAAAGTTATCCACCAGGGAGGAACATTCCAGCTCAGATCCAGCTTGATTTCTCAATGTCTTGTAACCCAAGTGTGTGGGTCTTTGGCAATAGGGTCTTATGATCTAGTTCTGATGGGCAAGCAAGGGCAATGGGAATAGCCTGTAATTTTTTGTGGGTCTCTGAGATCTTCCTAGCCAACAGCTAGTAGGTAGCTCTCCCTTGCTTGGCACTGAAAATTTCATTTAATAACCTAAGGCTTCTCGAATATCTATGCAGGGTGCGTCTCCTCAAACTTTAAACATTCTGTTTTTTTAATTTACTTACAACATAGTAGGTGTCTATACTACTTTTTCATACAGTCTTAGTTTTGGTTAAATGTTTCCTCTCCCTTCTGCTCTCCCCTATTTCCATGCCCCCATCTCCAGTTAACTTTTCCATCTCCTGTAATCTATGCCTTTCACTTTCATAATCGCATGTGTTCCGCTAGTCCCTGCCCCCCCATCCCATTAAGGCTTCTTTGCTCCACTTCAGCCACTAATGGGCCATTTAACAGGCATTCCGATTTAAATATTCTAATCTAAGAATTCAAAGTGAGCACCCACTAGGCTCCATTTCCTGGCTATTGCAAATACAGCAGCAGTGAGCATGGGCGAGTCAGTATCTCTGTAGTAGGATAGAGTCTTTCAGGCATATTCCCAGGTGTGGTATAGCTGTGTCATATGAAAGATTTTTATTAGCTCTCTGAGAAACTTCTAGACTGATTTCCATAGTGGCTTTGCAGTTTACACTCCCACCAACAGTGAATAAATACCTTCATTTCCCCACTTCCACAGCAGCATTTGTGGTCATTTGTTTTCTTGTTTTTGATAATAGCCCTTCTGACTGTGGTAAGATGAAATCTCAAAGTTGCTTTATTTGGGGTTTCCCTGAGAGCTAAGGATGTTCAGCACTTTAACAAATATTTATTGGTCATTTGTATTTCTTGTTTTGAGAGCTCTCTGTTAGGTCTCACAGCCCGTGCTTTTCATTGGGTTGTTTATTGATGCTTAGCTTTTTGAGTTCTTTAACTATTCTAGATATTAATCCTCTATCAGACGTACAGCTGCCAAAGTCTTTCCATTCTGAAGGCTGTTTCTTCACCCAAGTAACAATTTCCTTTTCTATACAGAAGTCTTTTAATTTCACGAGGTTCCAGTTGTCACTTGTTGACCTTATTTCCTGAGCATCCAGAGTCCTATTCAGAAATTCCTTACCTAGGTCTATATTTTGAAGGGTACTTCCTCCTTTTTCTTCAACCAGTTTCAGAGTTTCAGTTTTAACATTGAGGTCCTTGACCCATGTGGAGTTTATTTTTGTGTGGGGTGAGACATAAGGATCAAGTCTTAATGCTTCTACATGTAGACATCCAGTTATCCCAGCATCATTTGTTGAAGATGCTGTCTTTCCTTCTTCATTGTTTTTGCGCCAGTAGCATGCTGGTTTTGTCACTATGGTTCTGTGGTATAACTTGAAATCAGCTGATAAACTTGGTACTCTTGTTTCTCAGGATTGCTTTGGCTATTCAGTCCTTCCATATGAACTTTAGAGTTGTTTTTCTACTTCTCTGCAGAATGTGGCTGGAATTTCTGGTATTGCATTGAATCTGTAGTTCCTTTTTGTCGGTTGATCATTTTCACATCAATCCTACTAAGGAGTCTGGGAGGCCTCTCTGTCTTCTAGTGAGGATGTATCGGTCATCACGGTATAAATGACACTTGTAGAGAACATTTCCAGCAATAGCAGAATACAAATCCTTCTCAAACTTATGTGGGACATTCAAATTCTGGACCATGCCACACCCCAGAACAACTTTAGAGAGTAGAAACACTAGACCTCCTTGCTCAGACCACAGGAGACTCAAACTAGAAATAACGACATAAAAATAGCTGCAAAATGCACAGAAGTGTGTGGAGGCCAGAGGTCTTCATCGGTCACTCTCCGCTTTATTTACGAAGCAGAGTGTCTCACTGAACCTGGAGCTCTTTAATTCGGCTACTCTAGCCATCTTCCCCTGGGATCCCTTGTTTTTGCTGGTGGACACTGAGA